ACACTCCCTTCAAATTCCAGCCTTTTATATTTCTGACAGAAACAATTCTTTTATGTTTTCTTCTAAAAATGTGGATTTATGCCGATATCTGCTATTAAAAATCTTTTGAAGAAGTGGGTGGATGTCAGAACAACGGTTTTAAAATGGCATCCAAACCAGATTGAGGTTAATAGGCCTAGGGATCTCTACAATTACAATGCTATTAATTACTTCTGAAAAATCATGAAGAAGACAGAAAAGCAATTGACATTGGACAGATTCTTTAACCCCACAAACGGAAAAAAACACGACTAATAAAAATGCAAGACCATGCATATATGTATTTTTATTATTACATGTGAATAAACGTAGTAAGTATATATTTTTTTATTTTTTTGGGGGGTCTCCAGAACGAATTAATCAAATTCCCATAGAAACCTATGGTAAATCGATAATTGGTTAACGTACAATTCAGATAGCAAACAAAGTCTTGGAACAGATTATGTTCGTTACTGATCACCCACTGTACTCTGGTTTTCAAATCTGCTTTATTTGATCTAATGATGACATGAAAATATCTCAAAAAATGTTTAATCAGAAGTAAAAAATTAAATGTGACTCCTTAATTTAAACTATAAAGCAAGGTAACTGGTTTTATTTTAATAAATTTTTTATAATGTATCTGTAAATATAATAATTGTTTTAATTATTGAGATATTAATAGTAAATTATTTATTATTACATATGTTGATTTTTATTTATATTGAATTTTATCCAATAATTATTAGATTATATATTGAAATGTATAACAAAACACTATTAATTATTATATTTTCATTTTTTGTAATCAAAATGAAAAAAAGATTTTTAAATATTGTAAGGACAACCAACCAATTAGTAATATTTGATAAATTAGAAAAATCATGTCAATGTATAATTCATATTATTCAATGTGACCATTAACAAAACTACTAATATAATATATATATAATATTAGTAGTTTTGTTATATATTATATATTTTATTTTAAATTTATACATATATTACTTGTATATAGTAGATGTTATATATTCTACTAATTCATTACTTTATTTAATAAAGAAAATTATAATATAAAGCATGCATGATAAAAATAGAGGCCTTTGCAATTAAAATTCCAACATAAAATTTTTCATTAGTTAAATATTTAATATTCTCCAGCTATACTAACATCCACAAAACTAAATTTTATAAAATCATTAATGTAAACCATAATAATCTTAATTAATTCAATGATATAAATCCAATTTTGTTTTACATGGATTTTTTTTTCCCTACATAATTTTGATTTAAAATGATCTGAAAAAAATTAAATGTTTTCTTACACAATTATTTTGATTAACACATTTCAATAAATTTGCCTTTTTATAAAAATCTCCATTTGATTTTAATCATAAGAAAAATATTCATACTCCCTTTTCTAAAAATCTGCTTTTTTCAAAGAAAAATCTTAAAATTTGCATTTAAGGCAACTACACAGTCAAGTAAATTTAAGATTTGGCTGTTTTTTACAACTTATTTACAACATGTGTAGCAGCGTCAGTCTTTCATTCTAACTTTATCCTGCAATTGAAGCAATCAGTAAAAATTTAATTTGATATTTGATGATTTGTTTGTATGATTATATTTATTCTTTCAACACAAAACAATTTTAGTTTGCCATTTAGCATTAAAAGTTACAGATATTTTGGTGTTTAATTTAAAAAGTTAAATAAATAAAAAAACTAAATTAAAATTTGTGCAGATAATATAAATTTACTAAATTTTGCCATTAAGTTAAAATTGTCCCTCCTACGATTTATTAACCAAAATTGAAATATTTTGTATAAACTCATCTTACTATATTAACTGGTTTATTTTTACTAGTTTTTAAGGTCTACAATCTTCTATTTTTCCACACAAACTTTATCTTTTATATGTGGATTATTCAGGAACATATTTACAGTGTAAAAACAGAATTGTGCATAAGGATAGTATATAATACCAATTATCTTTTTCATTTATCATCAATAAATTGCAAAAAAAAGACTTTCTTAGAAATTTTCATTAAACAGTCAATCAGTAACTGATTCACCTTTCATTCATTTACACTAGAATTCATTTATTATAGGTATTTATTTTGAATTATTGTTGTATATACTATTTGAACATTTAAACATTCAGTGAAGTTTGGAAATTTAATTAATTCAATTCAATTTAAACAGCTTACTGTCTATTCATCATTTTTTCCTTAATTTTTTAGTTAGTTCCTTTAAAACATCATATATATTATTAGTATCAATTAACTTTCATATTTTCTCTTTAAGATTATTATTAAGAAGACATGATGTCTTCTTAATAGTAATCTTAAAGAGAAAATATGAATATGAAATATATGAAATAGGCATGAAATAGACATATGAAATAGACATGAAGACATGAAATAGACATAAAAAAGTGAAATAGACATGAAGACAATATTATTTAAATATTTAGCCAAATATTTTTACATTATTAAACTATATTCACTTCATATTATTGTAAACATCAATAAATATACGCCTCCAACAACTGAATTCATAAAAACAATAATATTAAGCAAGCTGCTTTACTTTCTAACTTCGTAAAAACAACACTCGATTGAAGTTAAATAACTGAATCTGTTGATAGAGTTAATTCCACGGTTTCTTTACTTACTTTATAATTTTCATATCCTATAAGCTGCTCTTTCGTAAGGTAGTTGATCGCCATATTGATTCTCCACCATTGCGATTCCTTACGGTTATGACGTCAGATTTCGTTCAGACTAAGCACTTCCGGCTGAAGCTACAGGCGGTGTATGCATTACTAAACATAAAAAAAAATAATTATTATTTTTTTAAACTAAAATAATTAAGGTAATTTACCTTAATTATTTTATTACGTTTTTATTAAATGATAATTTTATACAAAAATATAAAAAAATAATACATATACATAAAATATGAAAATATCATTTACATTTAATTACAGTATTAACATAAGAGACATATCATTAATCATGATTTAAAAGAATAATTTGACATATTGTTCTTCGAAATGATATTAGATTTTCTGATTTAATATTTAAACGTTTTAAAAATGTTGATAGATATATGAATATTTCTATTCAAAGTCATTAACCTTCGACCTGATATACAGTATATAGATATGTACTATCTCTGACATTTTATTATTATCTTTGTGTTGTATTCAATTCAATTTTTCCTGTTAAAAATGTTTTAAATACTGTACTTCTAATTAAGAAATAAGCAGGAAAAGTTTAGAAAATAATTTGAAAAATTACAAAAGAAATTATTAGGAAATTGTTAAAATTAAACGCAATAATAACATAGTTATGAAAGAAAAATTTTTAATTAGTAACTAAAATAACTCGAAAAAATAATATGAAAAATGAAGCATGATATATTATTTTATTATTTTATATTTATGTGATATTGTATATAAGATATTTATAAAATGTAAACTATTTATGTCTTCATTTTTCATTTATTATAATTGGATAGAAATATGTGAGATTTTAAAATGTTGCATAAAAAATTAATAATAGTATCATTGATAATTTATCATAAACATAATAATATTTTAAAATTTTTATTCTAATAATCACAAAAACATGCCTAAAGATTTTTGTTATCATGTTGATAGCGATGATAGAAAAAGATTTACAAGCCAAGAAAACGATACGAAATCTCTATTTTTACTGTCAATAAATGTTTTATGATTTAAATTAATTAAAGCTTTTCTTCTTCTTCTTCTTTAAATCAAATCCAACAGGAGGTTCGGCCAGATCAACAATGGGATGGCCGAGTGATGAGGAATGGGGCCAACATATCCATGACGGATCACCTATGAAAAATTCTTGGGTTTACTCTCCTGCTTGAATTCTTTCCAGGTTGCAGGCTGCGGATTAACACCTGCTGCCTATAACCTAGAAAGAATTCAAAGAGCAGGTTGATACCTTATTTGCTTCGGCCGTCCGGCCATCGTTATTTTTCATTCAAAAAAAAAATAATAATAATAATAATAATAATAAAAAGTAAATTAATAAGCACATTCAGTTTGATGATAACATCAATAAACACATCAAGGCCAGTACGATTTTCTAGATGACCTTGCTGGTAAGAATTTCAAAATATAATATTAAACATTATTATATGTTTATAAATACGTTTCTTTATTATTGTTATTATTATTAGTGATATTCGTAAATAAAAGTGTGTTCTTCGATCTTGACCAGATACTTAATACGAAATAAAAAGTATATCAAAAAAGTGTTATTTGATGAAAGTTTTAAATTTACTTATCCTGTGAGAGCATTTAGCTTTAGTACAAGTAATACACTAAAGCATATTGCTCGTGTATTTCTTAATATTCATCCGTTGTTTGCCATTTCTACTCTAATACATTACTTCTTTCAAAACGCAAAATTTTGTCACAGAATGACAATTTTCCCTTTACCGTATTGTTGGCTAACTGTTATGTTAACTTTAAATTTAATATCTTGCATTGTAAAATTCACAGTATTGACGATCGGATGCCCGAGACGGTAAGGCGTTATCCTACCGCTCGGGTCTGTCTCGAATACATCAGGTCCTTGTCTCTTACCACTCGGCCGTTTACATTGTGGTATTGGCTGAGTCCATAATGGTGATGATTGAAAAGGCTCTCTTAGTGCTCACCGGGAAGAAAAAATCAAAATAACAAAGATTTTTTAAAAAATTACAAAGGAATTACAGAAATAATCATAGCAATTACATAAGGTTTAGAGCTAGTGTCTTGGTTAAATAATTAGATTAAAAGATAAATAATATAATTATACGTCTTTNTTGAATCACTATTAATCGAATATAAATAATTTTATAATATTCGTTATTTGTAATTAAAAATTCTTTATAATAGAAAAAAACACTCAAAAAAAAAGAAAAAAATTAAAAGAAAGTCTTCATTTTTCCCTTCTTTTTTGAATGTTAATTCAAAATTTTTGTCTGTTGTTTTATTACTTGTTTATATTTTTAATTTATTCTTCGTATTTTCATATTTACTTCGGGTAATGAATAATTATAATGTTTCCAAGTCACCCACTCGATTCCATCAGCGTATGTAGAATGAGATCCGTTCAAATAAAGTCCATTTAAATTCGATCCATGGCATTTAGAATACCACCAACCGCCTTTAAATACTTCCGCACAATTTTTATACCAGATATCATTATCCTTATCTTTTGTAGTAAATTTCATGCCATTCAGATTACTGAAGGAGTCACCTAAAAGCAACATTTAATTTACATAATTAAATAAGCTTAATTTAAATAACATTGCAAAATATATGTAGATTACTCTAGAATAAATAATTATATTATTCTTAAATTTTGTACATAAAAAAAAATCTAATTTTTAAATACGAAGCGTTGTTAGAAATATGAATAATAATAATAATAACTTTATTATATTGCCAAGAAAAATTATGAAAAAAAATATATAATTTTTAAACGATTTTATTTAATTTTGTATCATTCTTAAATCTTTTAACTCAAATTTCATCCATCTCTAATTAAGATAGAAGTCTGAAACTTTGAGGACACAAAAGCCCGATGACAACACATTTTAATGTTTTAGAGGGGTGGCCCACTCCTACCAATCAGGAAAACAACCAATAAAAGAGTTTTTTGTAAATTTATTACAAAAATTATGATATACAAATTTTAAAAAAAATCAATTAATAATATCCTATAAATACTTTAAAATTAATTTTAAATCTATATATCTCTTTATACTTTATAGATTAAAATTTATTTTGTGATTTAAATTTACATGAGTTGAAGTTGGCAAGTGTCATACGAACTGCATGTGTTTATTACTTGCATTCCTTTGATACGCATTAAAATCATTTAAATATAGCATTTCAACGAAATAACAAAGACATTCCAGGAGAATTAATTTAATTTTGTAATTTTTGTATGATCACGCTTAATATACTATGTTTATAATTTTTTTTTTACAATAATTTTATATACATACTACTAGAATCATTAGAATTTTCTCTTTAAATAATAGCTTTAAGAAAAGTGATGAAAAATTAGAGATGAATTTTTAAATTTTGTTATTTATTTATGCTCTTATGTGTTTAGTTTATTTCATATTTAGATAAAAATAACATAACATTTATATTATAAACGAAAATATTTCATTTTATTATAATAAAAGTTTTTACCTGCATTTCCTTCAAAACCAGAAACATGCAATTTATACTGTTGTCTTTCATTTTCGATCCAGAATTCTTTATAAAATGCATATCTTTTATTTCCTTCTAAGTCTTTCATATCGATTCTTAGAGAATAGTTTGCTTGATTTGTCAAAGCAAATATTTTATCATTACCTAGACATGTTAAATAAACGTTTAACTATTAAACTTTAACATTTAAGGTTATCGAATTAAATATTTGTTCATACTTCATTACATAAAACTAATTTCAGATTACTTACCTAGCCAAAAGTCTTCATTTAATTTACCAAATCCCAATGAATATTGCTCCCAGTCTTTAAAGAAATAATCTTTAGGTTGTTTATAATCCCCTCTTCTTTGGAAAACCTAAAATATCATTTATCATTTAATTTTAAATATATTTTNAATAAATAATAATAATAATATAGTGGTTTAATTATATAAATTTTATTTTTCTTTGGTATTATTATTCATTATTCTAACAACGCTTCGTATTTAAAAATTAGATTTTTTTATGTACAAAATTTAAGAATAATGTAATTATTTATTCTAGAGTAATCTACATATATTTTGCAATATTATTCAAATTAAGCTTATTTAATTATGTAAATTAAATTTTGCTTTTAGGTGACTCCTTCAGTAATCTGAATGGCATGAAATTTACTACAAAAGATAAGGATAATGATATCTGGAATAAAAATTGTGCGGAAGAATTTAAAGGCGGCTGGTGGTATTCTAAATGCCATGGATCGAATTTAAATGGACTTTATTTGAACGGATCCCATTCTACATACGCTGATGGAATCGAGTGGGTGACTTGGAAACATTATAATTATTCATTACCCGAAGTAAATATGAAAATACGAAGAATAAATTAAAAATATAAACAAGTAATAAAACAACAGACAAAAATTTTGAATTAACATTCAAAAAAGAAGGAAAAATGAAGACTTTCTTTTAATTTTTTTCTTTTTTTTTGAGTGTTTTTTTCTATTATAAAGAATTTTTAATTACAAATAACGAATATTATAAAATTATTTATATTCGATTAATAGTGATTCAACGTTAATTGCAATATGGTATGTTTGTTTAGTAGATAGGAGCGATTCGTTCTGATAATTAAACGTGCCCTGCAAGATTATTACAAGAACTCACGACGTGTTTAGCATGGAAAATTATTTAGGACAATAATATTTTTTGGTTGGTTATTAGTGAAGCATTTATTAATATAAACATTTACATCTCAGTGTGTAAATGACCAATAAGAAAGTTTCTGAACCTTGCATCACTCGTTCGATATGATCAAACGAATGAGTCATGGGTTGGAAATTTCTAATTCTAATAAATCAAAATCGATTAGAATTAGGAAGTAAAGTTATCTCCAGTGTAGAAATTATCTAAGAATAAAAATATTATCTCGATTTTAAAAATCCAGATCCGCGAAATAAAAAAACCTTTTAATAATATTTTTATTCTTAGATAATTTCTACACTGGAGATAACTTTACTTCCTAATTCTAATCGATTTTGATTTATTAGAATTAGAAATTTCCAACCCATGACTCATTCGTTTGATCATATCGAACGAGTGATGCAAGGTTCAGAAACTTTCTTATTGGTCATTTACACACTGAGATGTAAATGTTTATATTAATAAATGCTTCACTAATAACCAACCAAAAAATATTATTGTCCTAAATAATTTTCCATGCTAAACACGTCGTGAGTTCTTGTAATAATCTTGCAGGGCACGTTTAATTATCAGAACGAATCGCTCCTATCTACTAAACAAACATACCATATTGCAATTAACGTTGAATCACTATTAATCGAATATAAATAATTTTATTACAGAAATAATCATAGCAATTACATAAGGTTTAAAGCTAGTGTCTTGGTTAAATAATTAGATTAAAAGATAAATAATATAATTATACGTCTTTTAGATTAGATTGGTAGACAAACAACACAAATATACGTTCTACGTTCTCCAAATTAAAATTTAGTATTTATTATTTTTGTTAAACGTATTCGTATAAGTGATTCCATTGGGCAACGTATTCTTTCTATTCTTTCTTATCATATTATTGGTTAACTGCAACCAGACCTCTTTTTTTCAAAACTGCATATTTTTGAAAGAGTTATACTTATCATTTTGCAACTTTGCAAAATGACAAGTGAGTGTAATAAAAAAATACACTCTAAAAACTATCTAAAATAAATAGTACTCATTTTTTTATCGTTAAATTAATTAAATTAATCGTTTTTAGTCAGAACGTCCACTAGTAGCCCAGTGAATAAAATCAATGGACAAATAAGAACAAATACGACATTGCCTGAGTTAAATATCAAAATAAATGCATACTTCAAGCAACATAATTTCCAGAAAACGATGGTGACATGATGTTCTTTCCACTTTTTGCCAACAGTAAATTGTGCAGAACTCGCTAGGGTCTAGACTCTAGAGTCTATACCCTAGCGAGTTCTGCACAATTTCTACACGTGTGTCTAGACTCTAGACACAAGTGTAGAAAACTATGCCAACGCTATATTTCGTTTTCCATATGCACTACATCCAGCACTGACAAATGGCCATGTCACGTTGGCCATAATCCCATCAGGTACCTTATTTGAGTTCATAGTCTTCCTCGGCATCACAGAATGAGAATTTCACAGGCAGTGTTCAACAGTCGATCATTGAACACACTGAATTCAGTTTTCCATCATTTTACGCCTTTAGAATGGCCTTTACATCGAGCAACATTTTTTGTATTGCCAAGATCTCTGTATAGCAAGTGTTTGTATAAGTAAAATGTTGTTGCTTTCAGCGCCAAAGTACTTTTTTGCGGAAATGTCTTTCGTATGTCTTAAAATGTTACCATACCAAACTTAGTTGCATTTAATATCTTTCAGCATTAAAGGAGAGTGTTTTAATTACAATCTCTCTGTATATACATAGTGCACTGCGTCATTTCGTTATAACGTTGATGAGAGAAAAAATCAATTCTGGTCGGGGCCACTAAAATGCACCTGTTTGCCTTGAACTGACAAGGTTACCAGATGCCTAGCTCCTGGCATTTCAAACTTCCTGATATTCTATTCATGAACACAAGTCGCTTTTTTATTTTCGTTTTTAAAAGATAACACTTTAATTTGTGCACAATTCTCTTACCATGGCAGACTCGATTTTTATTTCTCTAGTGAAAAACTACGAAGAATTATATAATTTATAGCATCTTCTGATAATAGATAGCTCACTACCACCCATTCTTCATTGACATTTACTCATACTGAAAAAATCGCCAAGTCTGAAAGAGTGAAAACTCTTTATATACATTTCGATGGTTAAAATTAGAAATGTTTTGGTCTTTATTTAGAAGTTTGGCAATAATTTTTTCTTCTGATCAGAAATATGGCGTAGAACTTAACTTTCACTTATATCAATAAGCTCAAGGTAAAATTGATTCTATTGTATATACGTCGTATAAAATCAGTCTCCAAGAACGTATCAACGACAATGTTCCTTCCGCTTACCGTAAGGCAAAATATTATTGTTTTCATAAAGTTCCAATTAAATATAAGAAAAGTTAATTGCTTTTTGTACAAGTTTCGGTTATCTTTTCAGGAAGTTTACAAAGTTTTATCTGGTAAAGTGCATATTATATGAACGTACCGTATATTCTTTTATTGAACATTTGAATTAAGGATTTTTGTTTTCAAAATTCCAAACTTTAAACGAACAAATATTGCGTGTACAAACAATAAGAATTAAAAAGTAATTGTGACGTTAAGGATGTAATGATACCAGTTGTTCAAAGGCCGGATGGCCGAGCGGTCAAGATAGCAGCCTACCGCTCTAGGGGACCCGGGTTCGAATCCGAACGGGTCGAATAATCCCCAGGATTTTTTCGGGGGGTGGTCCGTTCGGATATGTCGGACCCCGTTCCTCACCACCCAGCAGCCCCATTGTGGGCCTGGCCGAACTCATAATGGGCTTGCAAAAAGAGGCCCTCTTCACAGGGCAGAAAGAGTAAAAAAAAAAAAACAGTTGTTCAAGACATTCTTGTTCGTTCAAACTGAATTCCGAATACACATCTACTTACATTGTTTATTTGGTCGAATGCATTGATAAAACTATATTTAATAACGAGTTTAAATTAAAGACTTTATTTCAAAACAAGTACATAAAAAACTATTTTTAATTATTTAAAAAAATCCGGCTGTTCAAACACGAATTCGAGTGACTAGATAAATTTTTATGATTAAAATCGATTAAACTATAAATTATTGTTATTTATTATCAAGAATTTTTATCATCTCGTAAAATGAGAAAGCCTTAATTAAGGCTGATTGTAACCTTTAGTTACGCACGCGACTCCTGCAAATGGAGTTAAAAACAATACTTTTTCTGTGGAAAAATTCGTTTCCAAAAATTCTCGAAAACAACGCTAGATCCAGCAATTTTTTGCTTTAGAATTTTAATAGTTAAGTTATCTCCAGTGTAGAAATTATCTAAGAATAAAAATATTATCTGGATTTTAAAAATCCAGATCCGCGAAATAAAAAAACCTTTTAATAATATTTTTATTCTTAGATAATTTCTACACTGGAGATAACTTTACTTCCTAATTCTAATCGATTTTGATTTATTAGAATTAGAAATTTCCAACCCATGACTCATTCGTTTGATCATATCGAACGAGTGATGCAAGGTTCAGAAACTTTCTTATTGGTCATTTACACACTGAGATGTAAATGTTTATATTAATAAATGCTTCACTAATAACCAACCAAAAAATATTATTGTCCTAAATAATTTTCCATGCTAAACACGTCGTGAGTTCTTGTAATAATCTTGCAGGGCACGTTTAATTATCAGAACGAATCGCTCCTATCTACTAAACAAACATACCATATTGCAATTAACGTTGAATCACTATTAATCGAATATAAATAATTTTATAATATTCGTTATTTGTAATTAAAAATTCTTTATAATAGAAAAAAACACTCAAAAAAAAAGAAAAAAATTAAAAGAAAGTCTTCATTTTTCCTTCTTTTTTGAATGTTAATTCAAAATTTTTGTCTGTTGTTTTATTACTTGTTTATATTTTTAATTTATTCTTCGTATTTTCATATTTACTTCGGGTAATGAATAATTATAATGTTTCCAAGTCACCCACTCGATTCCATCAGCGTATGTAGAATGGGATCCGTTCAAATAAAGTCCATTTAAATTCGATCCATGGCATTTAGAATACCACCAGCCGCCTTTAAATTCTTCCGCACAATTTTTATTCCAGATATCATTATCCTTATCTTTTGTAGTAAATTTCATGCCATTCAGATTACTGAAGGAATCGCCTAAAAGCAAAATTTAATTTACATAATTAAATAAGCTTAATTTGAATAATATTGCAAAATATATGTAGATTACTCTAGAATAAATAATTACATTATTCTTAAATTTTGTACATAAAAAAATCTAATTTTTAAATACGAAGCGTTGTTAGAATAATGAATAATAATACCAAAGAAAAATAAAATTTATATAATTAAACCACTATATTATTATTATTATTTATTTGATTATAATTATTAATTAATTTAACTAATGTTAATTAATAAAATTTAAATTTGAATTTTTTAAAGCAAATTTCCATTTACATCTAGAATAACCTTTCAGAAAAAAAACTGTCCTCAATTTTTAATAAGAAAATAAACAAAATAAAATTATGTGATATCAGAATTAGAAATGATTTAATGTGATGGTTGTAAGCTATAAAAACATTCTGCAATAAAGCATTTGAAATAACAATATTGTAATTGAAATACATTGTCAAGTATATAAATAAATTAGAAAATTATTATATGATAATTTTATTATAAGAACTTTATTATATTATCAAGAAAAATTATGAAAAAAATATTTAATTTTTAAACGATTTTATTTAACTTTGTATCGTCATTACATCTTGCAACTCAAATTTCATTCATATCTAATTAAGATAGAAGTCTGAAACTTTAAGGGCATACAAAAGTTCGATGACAATGCATTTTAATGTTTAGAGGGGTAGCCTTATAGATTAAAATTTATTTTGTGATATAATTAAATTAATAAGGTGTGAGCAATCTTCTATAGTAGAAAGGTCGCCCACACCTGATTACTAGGGCCACAGGACACCACTGTGTTATGAGATGGAGCCAAACTCTAAACACAAGATTTTATGTAAATTTTAAAGGAAATTCTACACTTGTTAAGGAAATGTGATGTTAAAGATAACTAATCTTCAAATTTATCGTTTATATAAAGTAACCTTATGATTTTTGTTTATTTGCTTATTTAGAATTTAAATAGGCCTACCTTTAGGATCTTGATAAGGGGCACATAGAAAAAATCACAAAGGTGGGTTGCTCTCCGTGACTTTTTCTAGGCGCTTCCTATCAATATCCTAAAGGTATTTAAATTCTAACAATTTCATAAATGTTAAAAATAACAAAATCAGGTATAAAATAATGATTCAATTTTTACTAGACTAATTAGTAAAGTTTATAGTAGCCTAAATAAATAATAAGTGAATAGAATAAATTGTAAAAAGATCGAATCAATATTAGTAATATTGAGTAGAATAAATAGTGAATACAGTAATATCCTTCGAAAGAAAACGTATAAGTTAATTGTTAGACAAAAATATAATTTTAGTTTTTATATACGTATATAATAGATAATCATACTAGAATCATTAGAATTTTCTCTTTAAATAATAGCTTTAAGAAAACTGATGAAAAATTAGAGGTTAATTTTTAATTTTCGCTATTTATTTATGCTTTTATGTGTTTAGTTTAGTTAATATTTAGATAAAAATAACATAACATTTATATTATAAACGAAAATATTTCATTTTATTATAATAAAAGTTTTTACCTGCATCTCCTTCAAAACCAGAAACATGCAATTTATACTGTTGTCTTTCATTTTCGATCCAGAATTCTTTATAAAATGCATATCTTTTATTTCCTTCTAAGTCTTTCATATCGATTCTTAGAGAATAGTTTGCTTGATTTGTCAAAGCAAATAATTTATCATTACCTAGACATGGTAAATAAACATTTAACTATTAAACTTTAACATTTAAGGTTATCAAATTAAATATTTGTTCATACTTCATCAGATAAAACTAGTTTCAGATTACTCACCTAGCCAAAAGTCTTCATTTAATTTACCAAATCCCAATGAATATTGCTCCCAGTCTTTAAAGAAATAATCTTTAGGTTGTTTATAATCCCCTCTTCTTTGGAAAACCTAAAATATCATTTATCATTTAATTTTAAACATATTTTAAATGTTTAATTTTAAAAATTAATATATTACCGTCCACCCTCCTCCGTCTATTTCCATATCGCAATAAACAAGAAAACTTCCAACAGTTACCCAATTTAAAGGCCAAATTCTATAAATACCAGATTTATTATTGCCATTAGATTGAACGTGTTTGCAGTCTATTGGACCCGGATACGGTTCCTTACTTTTCTCCACGTATTCTATAACTGTTCATTGATAAAGTTACATTTTACATAATTCTAATCCTAATTTTATAATTAAATGTATTACCTTTTTGAAGCAAATTGTCAATAATTTTTAAATTAGAAGTAACTTCAGAAATGGGAAAATGAGAACTGACATGATATGAACAAACAGACAAAATAATGATTAACGAAAAACGTGGAACCAATTGTATCTTCATTTTGTGAACTGTATACTGTATATTAAACTTAACAATCACCTTTATATAAGTATAAATGTATTTGATCTTGTTTATATTAAAAGTTTTATCGCTCTTCTCAGAATATGCTACATATCTGATAAATTTTATTATTTCATTGGAATATTACAGCATTTATTCTATGTAACTAATTTCCTGACTCTACATAACTTATTTCCCGCATTTACATATCTTTTTCTGAGAACACATTTAGGTAATTCCACGGTGTAGTCTGAAAGTTGAACTTTGTTTTTTTGTAACACATTTTCCAGAAATAAACTGAAAAATGTGTTGCAACTGATAAATTTTTAATTGCCGTTAAACTGTAAAGCATAATTATGAAATAAAACTGGGAATTATTAAATGATTGGAATTCTTACATCATAAAGATCAAAGTAGCCTGCCTACCTTTAAAATTCGAAGGCATTCTTTAATTTAATAAATTTTAACATTTTTAAATTATTATATTTTGATTTTATTTCATTTTAACAAATCTTTATTTATTATTATTAGTCATCTTTTATTTTAGAATTACTTATATGCACTTTATTCATTATACTACAAGTATTTTGGCAGGTGTGTGTCTTTATAGTCTATTGAAGTACTGTACTATTTTTCCACTAGATCGCCAAATTACTGCGCTTTGTTTCTTATCTACTGCAGTAGATAAGAAACCAAATCAAAGGAGGAGTGATTGAATACTAAAATAAACTACTACAATTTAAAACATATTATAGTACTTATCATTTTTTTGTGTATGGTATGTAAATAGAAACACAACAATGTTAATACAAAAAATACAACAATTCATGAATTTAATCTTAAATTATCTCTAGAAATAAGAGCAGTGTAAACACCAAGCATTCGTGCTAGTCTGTAAATCAACCGTCTAACGTAAGAATGCAGCAAAATTTGCACTTTACCATTATCATTTTCCCATAATAGAAATACAGAGAACTGAATAAAAATTGAAAATCATACTTCCAACCTAAAGCTACCTTTATACGATTGCTATAACTCGCTGATCTCGTTTTTTCTTTCCCGGCTGTTATATATAACAGAGGGAAAGCATAGAGGCAGGTCGAAAAAATGGCCCCCATGATTTTTACATTTTTGGATTCAGAATACCTGGAAACATCGAGAAATGCAGAAAAATTTGGGTTTTTTTTTCTGTATGTATGGATGTTAGTGTGTATGTGAGAAGCACGATTTTGTTCATCTTCTTTGAAGCTTAATAACTCTTATGCTTTTAGTCAATAATTTCTGAAATTTTTCAGGGAAGTTCACGAATTAGGAGCATTGATGCTATTAAAATTTAGAGATTAAAGGTCGACGAGGTGGGGAAATAAAGGAGGTTCTGTGTCGTATCTTGAGTAGGGTCGGACTTAATGACGATTTTACTCGTTATTAGCATTTACAATTTTTATTTTTTATTTATTCTTTTTTTTATAAAACCAATCTCTACCCTCAAAATTAAGCTTTTTGCCATTTTATAATAATTAAAAATATAAAAAGTTTTTAATAATAAAACATCACAACAGACGGCGCTACCACATGTTGCCGGAAAAATTAAGCAATTCATTGCTGGATATTTTTAATTAATTAATATATAAAACTGTCTCCTCTTCAAACTAATATCACTTTCGAAGGCAGCTTTGCTAAATCAATGTTGCTAAAAGGTAATGGTGGCTGACGTAGTGAGGACCAATTAGTGATCAAAGGCCTCAAGAATTTTTCTTGGGAGATTTGTTCAGGATTTCGGGCCCTGTCTTTCATCAGCCCATTGTGAGTCTGCCCGAATCTATGATGGACGTGAAAGAAGGGTTCTATAAGTGTCCACGACGGAAACAGAGTTAAAAAGAAAATAATAATAATATGCAACCATAAAAAATTACCATGCTTGTTAATTTAATAACTGTATATACTAGGGTGACCAGATATTGACATAGTCAAAGTAGGACTTTTGAAGTTTTATAATGCTTCCCAGTAGGTCATTTGACAACCCAGCTTAAAACAATAAAAATCGGTAGTAAAAAAAGCACAAAACACTAAAAATTGATACATAAATAATTTTAAATTGATATACTACTCTTGTTGTTTTAAATTCTACTCTTTGTTGCAATTGTACCCATTATTTAATATAAAAATATGAAAAAAAAAGTTTATTGTTATTATTAATGAGTACCTATTGGCCCAGAAGTAGTTTCTGTGAAAGTAGGACATTTCTGTTAGGCGGTAGGACGTAGGACGAAAGGTTTAATTGTAGGACATATCCTCCCACAGTAGGAAGGATGGTCACCCTAGTATATACCTATTTGAACTGTATTCATGATAACCGCCCACAACCACCAGAGAATGAAGATAATTAATTGGTTGAAAGGCAAAAATAATTGGGCAAAACAATTTTTACTCAATTTTTAGTTGTTAGATTGATTGATTTTTTAACTAGAGATAACAGCGTGTTAAGACTAGATGACTACAATTACCTCCATTGTGGACGAGTCCAACTTGCAGTGGGATCGACCAGCGTGTATGAGAATGGGAAAATTTTTATAATCCTATTACTCAAAATAAATCCTATTACTCAAGATGAATCCTTATTCCTCGTGGTTATCAATATTACAAACTTCTACTTTGTTTTTTAAATTAAAGTAATAGATACAGATTTTCAAAACTAATATACAAATTAAAATTGTTCTTTACATGATCATAAGCATGGGCGGATGTTCAAGCAGCGCGGGAAATATGAATTGGCACCAGTGCCTTATAAAATACTCAATATTGATTCGTTTTATATTCATTTGTATTTCGAGCTCTTAGCAATATCATGCAAACTCGTAGAGTATTTAAATTCCATAACGAAAATAGAATAATATTACAAAAATTTGTAATTAACTCTCAATATATAAAGGAAAAATTTCAATAATTATAAAAGGACTGATAATACTGGTTGAGTAGTTTCCTTGCGACTTTAAAGAAACGGTATGATTACGATATAACAATAATTTTACGAGCAAGCTCAGGCAAGCTTTGTTTCTGAATGTAAATTCTATTGCGCTCTATAACAGTGTTCAATAATGGACTCAGTAACAACAGGGTATTAAATTCTTAAGTGAATATATTCAATTACACAGCTAGTTTCTTATGAACTCGTCTAAAACGGACAATACAATTGGTTATACTCACTTACATAGTAATTTAAAATCTGTTCGTTATTGAACAAGGTTTTTTTTAGTACTCTTTCCGCCCTGTGGGCACTAAGAGGGCCTCTTTTTGCAAGCCCATTATGGGTTCGGCGAGGCCCACAATGGGGCGACGGGGTGGTGAGGGACGGGGCCCCGATATATCCGAACGGACCACCCCCGAAAAATTTCTGGGGATTCCTAGACCCGTCCGGATTCGATCGAGGGTCCCCTAGAGCGGTAGGCTGCCACCTTGACCGCTCGGCCATCCGGCCGCATATTTAGGATTTAATTATTTCAGTCGAAGCGGTAGGCTGCCACCTTGACCGCTCGGCCATCCGGCCGCCTTATTAAACAAGGTTAATGTGTATTGGGTCATCAAGAAAGTATTTTCGTTTTTTAATTGTCAATTGTAAAATATAACTCCACTATCAAGCAACGTATTTAATCGAAATAAGAACTATTGTGTTCAACACACTTGCCAACATGATACAAGAAGCGGCCGGATGGCAGTCTACCGGTCTGGGGGACCCGGGTTCGAATCCAAACGGGTCGAAAAATCCCCAGGAATTTTTCGGGGGTGGTCCGTTCGGATATGTCGGCCCCGTCTCTCACCACCCGGCAGCCCCATTGTGGGCCTGGCCGAACCCCAGCCTCTTTTTTTTTGCAAGCCCATTGTGGGTATAGCTAGGCCCACAATGGGGCGACCGGGTGATGAAAAACGAGCACCGGACGGACCACCCCCGAAAAATTTCTAGGGATTATTCGACCCGTCCGAATTCGATCCCGGGTCCCCCAGGGCGGTGGGCTGCCACCTTGACTGCTCGGCAATCCGGCCGTCTCTAGAAAGGGATCATGCGCCAATACTGTAGAACCGACAATACTTTCTCGATGATCCAATATTTATTTAAATAAAGGGAAAAGAAATAGAAAGAAAATTCACTGAGTAGCAATGTATATAACAGGTTATAATCATATTTTTTTCCAATTATACGAATTATTGCAAATATTTTAAATTAAATTATAAAAATTGTATTTAAATGGTTATAAATAATTTATGTTCATATTTTTTGTTTTTAATTTATGTTCATATTTGTTATTTTTTTTTCTTTGAAAACAAATGATTCGATAATATAATGAATTTTCCAGAATATATATAGAAGTATGCGAAGTTCTCAAATTTGTAGATTGCTATTTACTGCCATCTACCGTCGGGAATTTGAAGCGAATTTTAAATGAACAAAAAATGGCGGGAAATAAGAAGCGGTAATGTATTCATTTGTGTCACTTTTGTTTTGTGTGATTAGGTATATGTGAAGACATTCAGTTGTTCTTTATAAGTATGTTTGCGTAAGACGGGTTTTTTTAATATTTACTGTCTTATGACATTTAAATAAAATAAATATTTTTCTGTAAATGAAGTTTAAAAAGTTATGAATTTTGAAGAGAAACGAAGTTATATTCTAGCTCTGAATGAGAGATATGGTTCTGTTCTATTATTTGAGAGCCATATTTTATAATATAGAGGGATAAGTGGGATTTTATGAAAAAAAGAAAGAAAACAGGACAAATTATAGCATAACATGATTTTATTTAAACATTTATGCATTGAAGAGTGAAGATGTTTATTTGCAAAAATTGCAAATGTATAATCTGCCTCTTCTGAATATTCTGTACAGGTCCACCCACGGTGTACATCTTACCCACAGTTTACATGACAATCTGATACTACTTTCTACCACGAAACATGCAGACAGTGCCATTTTCAGTGTGATAATCTCATTAAAATAGTTTTTGGAA